ACTTTCTCGCTTCCTTGCTAGGGCCTTAAATCGTTTTACCTTGATAAAGAAAGAGCGCTCCAAGTATAAGCACTACAGTGCTTGTCCTGCACGCGTTTGTACAGGTTACGAACGGGACTTCATAATTTCCTAGATTCTCAAAAAAGTGCTCGTGTCGTAAGGTTCAATCGGAGACCTCGCGCCGAGGCCTGTCTGTAGCTTTTTAGGGGCTCGAAGGCGGCCCACGATGCTCCCTCTTGTTTAATTCTTCTTTCATTCGTTCTCCATGTTCATTGAACGTCCGAGATATGCGTAAGAAGACGTCTCCATGACTGAAATGCCTTTACATCTATTTCCTGATCCTAGCAAAAAGCGTTCTCAATGAAATGAGTTTTTCCGATTAATTTGCAGTACTATCCGCTTCCCTACTTCGTTTAGATCTTCCAACATCATCTCCTCTCCAGTGATATTCCTCGAGAAGAGAGCAATGTCATCTGCAAAACGAAGGTTCGCGAGGAATCTCCCATCAACTCGTATACTTTCGTTCCAATCCAGTGATCTCATCACCCACAGCAAGGAGGCAGTAAACAGCTTTGGCGACACGGTGTCACCTCGTCGAATCCCCTTCAAAATTGGTGTGTTAAGGGGACGATGAAGAAGCAGTACCGTTGTAGAACACTTCTTGTAGCAGTCAGCCAGTGTCGTCAATTGGATGGATCCACTCTAGTCTCGCCGCTGTTAAACGCTTTCTCTAGTCGACGAAGGTTAGGACAAGAGGTAGGTGGTACCCTCGGCAAACCAAGATAATCCTCGAAACTGTCTGGATGTAACTCACGCAGCTATAAAACAAGCTGAATCTCTTGCGAAATCCAGCTTGTTCTATAGGTTGGGCTTCATCCAGTGTCCTTGATATGCGAGCGAGAAGAATTTTTGTGAAGACAAGTGAAGCACGCTTAGCAGGCATATTGGACGGTAGTTCCGATCCTCCCTATCGCCCTTCTTATGAAGAAGGTTCGGGAGGTTCTAGCCGGGGATCCTTTTCTTTTGGAGGTAAGACGTTAGATGTTCCGCAAGTCTCTCGTGTAGGCGATTTCCTTCAGCTCGTGAAAGATCGGCCGAAGCGTGGTCTGGTACCAGAGCCGTGGCTGCCTTCATGGTCTGGATTGCGACGCGTACTTTAACAGGCAGAATCCGTAGTGGTATCTCTCCAGTAGGAATAAAGGGATCTGACACGGGTGTTGACGGAGAGATTGGTGTAGAATCTCTTCTGATCGATACCATCTTTGTCGGGAAGATTAGCGAGTTCTGTCCTCGTTTAGTAATGTTGTCAGCGAAGCATGGTAGTCGTAAAGGTTCTTGGGGTACTTCTTTAGACTTCTCCTTCCTCG